CGGGCCCTTCCCCGGCCCCGGGCGGGCGCGGCCGGAGCGGGTGCCCGGCCTCGCCCCTCGGGGAGGCGGCGGGGAGCGTCCCCGGCCCCGCCGGCCTTGGGGGCTTCCTTTGCCCCCAGGGCATAGCCAAACACGAGCCTCCGGCCGCGGCACTCGCCCGCCTCAGTCTCCGGACCACGGGCTCCTAAGCCGGGTCTCTCCAACCGCCCAAAGCTGAACCAGCATCGCTCCAGTAACAGCGCGAAAGCAAGCAAAGGGCCGGCCTGAACCGGCGGCTCTCGCCCCGTCCCTTGCACATAACTCATGGCGCCGTGCTCCGCAAATGCCTGTCCTTGGCTACATCAGCACGTAAGGCTCCTGATGGCGTGCGGGTAGGAGCTCCTGGCTGAAATATTATTAAAGACGACGGATTTTTTACTAATTACAAGGCAGGGATAGTGAAAAGATTGGACCTGGAGAAGTGTTTCCCAAAGGAATCTGACTTGAAGCTTTGCATTCCTTTCATCTTCAGAAAAAAAAAAAAAAGAAGGGTAAAATTTGAGGCGGGGGGGGGAAGGAGGAAAAAAAGAAAGAAATTCCTACTGATCTGTAGAGAAAAGATATTATTTCTGGAAATGCTGTCACCTCTGTAACACCAGACAGCATACACTATTGTCAAAGGTGCGTGGGCAGCTGTAAATGGAAAAGGATTTCATCTTCCTGAAGAAAAGACTTTTTGCACAAACAGAAAAAAGGTTCTATAGACTTAATTTTAGTCTTCAAAGTCTGAAATCCCACACGTGGAACGATGTGTGTTAGCACGGGATGAACCGTGCTGAATCACACACAAAAAATACCTTTGCAAGAGACTCCTCCAAGCCCTCGGTCATCAGATCAGCCTGCTGCACGGTAACACTGACACAGGCGTCTTGCAGCCTGTTCTGCCTGCTCCCTACAAGAAGACCGAGAAACGCTAAAATATGTTCCAGGCAGTCCTTGCAATACCAAACATGTCTCAGAATAAATCTGGAGGGCAAGGACTTCACACTCTTCCTCCTCTGTCTTAGTTTTTATTGCTGGTGCACTCAGGCAATCGCTAATTCCTGTTTGTCCGCGTGACTACTGGAGAACCCCCGTGCGCTCTCCCGGGGACACGGCTCCCAGAAGCCAGCTGCTCCAACGGGAAGGTGGTGGAAACAAATGACTTTACCCGCAGACCAACAAGCAGTTAGTGAAGAGCAAAGAGATTTAAAAGAGCAAGATGCTGCCGCTTATAAAAGCCCCATGCCAAACTGCCTGGGATCCGTCTGCCTGAAGTAATACCCTCCCGGCAAAAACCATACAGATATTCCCTTGGTTTTGGGAAAGGGAAAACACCAGAAGGCTGACAGTGATCTCAGAGCTCCCGATAGCAAGCTGTCTAGGTTTATCTTAACATTACAAACAAAAACCAAACGGCAGGCTGAGGAAATCTTGCAGAAGGACATTCGGGAAGCTGAAAGCACAGACTGTAGGGACAGATGATAACAGCAGTAAGCAAGCAGATAAAAGGGAACATGATCGTAACAGGCAGGACTTCGTCCTGTTCCCGTGAAGAGGAGATTCTGCCGGTGCTCCCTGGACTGTTCTATGGGGAGCTGGGAGCGGCTGGAGAAACAGGCACCCTCAATGCCAGAACAGGTTGGCACTTACCATCGAATTGTGTTTCATCTTTGGCTGCAAACTCTTGTCCCATGCAAATGAAAAGATTTTAAGTTGTTTTGCAATGCCTACTAAGAGGAAAAAAAACAAATCCCTGCTTTTGTCACTGTCTGTTTGCTAATTCAATGCTAAGTACCTCCAGCTCAAGCTAACACAATGACACCTTTTTTTCAGTTTAAAAAAAAAAAAAAAAAGTGCATGAAGGTGTTCATATAATTGCAGTTTATTTCAGCATATTTATCCTCACGGGAACCTCAAGATTTCATAGTCTGCTAGTCCGGAACTAGCTTGCTGTGAAATAAACTGCCTCATAGGGACATTCTTTATTAGGTAACTATCACTAACCCGATCTAATAATTCTTTGTGGGAGCTGCAATGAAGTGAGAAACAATGTTTCATAAACCCATCAGCACCCAGGCAGCTTTAGTGCCTTTGAAGCGGTAATAGCCTGCCCATCCAAGCCAGCCCTCTAATCAAATTAGGGGAACCTGCACAGGCCTTTAAATCTCAGCTGGAGCAGCACTACCCTCTGAAGAGAAGTCTGCGATGTAGCTGTCATCTGGAACTTAGTGTTTTAATGGAGCCATTCGGGGTTCTTGGGACAGAAGTGCTACTCTCCAAAAGGTCTGTGCTGCCAAAGGTGTCCTGGGAAGAAGCCCTTTTTATTTTTAATTTGTTTACACCTCCAGTCAGGAATCAGACCATTTCCATTTTCCGTACCTTGGGGGCCAGTGGAGACTCTGCCCTAGCGCCTTCCGCCAGACTCCCACTCTCCTCAGCGTTCGTCTAGGGTGGCACATATCGAACCTGCTAAAATGCTTAAACTGTCACAGCTTTTGGCACATGCTCCCCCTGGGAGATGTTCCCGTGGCCAAGAACCACGGCGCAGTCTTCCCTGAGGAGCCTGCCTTGCAGTTACCTGCTGGTCCCCCAAGAAAGAGCCTTTCCATTCCTTCACACGTGCTGATTTTCACACATGCTATTCTTTGTCTCCCCTCCATTTATTTCACTGTTTTTTACCCCATGGAGTTAAGTAAAAAGGAGTCTTGGGAAGGCCACGGAAGAAAGAAATGAAGTGGTGACAGTAGAAAGTGCTGAGGGTCCTAAATGGGAACATGGGATAGGGACATCAGCAACACCTGTAAACTCACCTTGCGTGGGCTGAAAGGCTGCTCTCCCCGCCCGAAGACCAGAACACAAGAAAGGCAGCGAGCTGTTAAAACTCTCCCTGGAAACCAAGGCGTAGGATGGATCTCCCAGCGGTTGCTCCCAGGGCAGACACGCAGAGAAAGGAGAGCGACAGCTTCACCCTGCCCTAAGCTAGGCAAGAGCTGTGCGATGCTGAGCTCCCTCAAACCAGGGGAACAGGTTCAGACAAGATGCATGTATGGGCTTGGGTGGTTTTTTTTATTCTCGTGGCCACGTATCTCAGCAGTAACACACAAACTGCCCTTGAGAAAAGCTTTTTGTGTTGCTTTGAACACGCGGCCGGTGACAAGACTCAGGGAGGGAAGTGTCCCAGCCGTGGTGGCTGCTGCCCAGGTGTCGGCTCTCGGAGGCCCTCACCCGCAAGGCTCCGTTCTTGAGAGGACAGCAAGGCCCCTGCTCCACGGAGGACTGCCGAGGGTCACCAGCCAGGCACGACAGGAAGGAGGGCGACAGGAGGGTCACCATCCACGCACGAGAGCGCTGTGGGGTTTGGTCAGGGGGACAAGAGCGCCCGGGAGTCCCACCCCAGCCCCTCTTCTGAAGCAGCCACGGAGCAGCAGCCAACTGCGCCCACGCCTCCCTGGGCAAAGCCGGCCGCAGCCTGACCAGGCGGCAGCCACTGCAGCAGGTGATGCGCCAACGCTGCCTCATCCGCAACAGTAGCAACCTGGGGAATTTTTACTTACTTAGTTGCCAATTAACACAAACTTCTAATCACTGCTTTGGGTACTGAGAAAAAAGAAAACACACTGAAGTAAACACCTTTCCTTCTCCTTCCTTTGGCTAAGTTTCATCCCAAGGCCTGTCCGCCACCGTTCCTAGTTTCACCTCCCCTTTGCCACTGTTCATACGCAGTCTCTCCCAACGCGTTCCGCGAGGCGACGGGTGGTGCAGGTCAGGGTCGAGCCTGTAACTGTTTGTCTTTACTTCTCCGTCCCTCTGTGCTTCCCAGTGTGCCTTACCCACAAGGACTGTCCACGGCCACTATCCCTCGGGGCTGTCCTGCCTCGGCACAAGCCATCCCCACGGCCACGGGCCCGCCAGGATTGCACCCTTGGGCACGGACACGTCTCCCTCCACATCTCCTCCAGCTTTGTCCACCATCTCCTTACATTTCTCCTCACGTGTCTCCTCCCCTTGTGGCTGCCGCTCTTCATTTAACTCCTCTGAGGTGAAGTGCTGCAGGGTCCCCTGACGGGCTGGAATTTTGGGGCACGGCGGGTCGTTCCCATTGCTTTCAGAGCTGGCTGGGAGCAGCTGTGAGGGGCGGACGGGAGTGCGCAGCTCCTGCCCGCAGGCACCTCTGCAGCCCCCAGCGGCCTGAACCCACCACCGACGCCCAACACAGGCGTAAGCGTGTCGGCTGCTTGTGGATAAACACAGCAAACCCTGCAAGTTACACCCAACACCTCAAAGGGCAGCTGGGAAGGCCGTTTCCCGAAGGGGCCGGAGGAGAGCAGCGCGTGACACGGCAGGAAGCCTCCGCTGAGGAAAGGCCAGACCTGAGTAACGAAGCTCATTCTCGTAAGTAGAGAGAAGGGAAATCGATCACTGGAGCAAAACAGGCAGGGACAGTCATTTCTGCATACACAGTTTCAGAAAACACATTAAAAATTTATTTTAAATATATTATAAAAGGAAGTCCATTCAACTTTAAAAACACTAGGCATTCTATCAATGATTCCCAATTTATGAAAGCTACTACATTAAAGTGCTACAAGTCCTTTACCACCCCCAGATATTAGGCTGTTGGTCCTAATATGCACAGAAATAAATATACACTGATTCAAGAGGCACCATCCAGTTTTACAGACAAAATGCATGCAGTACAAGGAACAGACAAACTTAGACCTTATCACCGAGATCCTGGAGAATGCATTTTGAAACCAATTCCCTTCTTCACCCTAGAGGCTAAAGCTATTTGTTATTGTTATCATAAGGGCTAACGTTTTCGCCTATTAGCTTGATCAGTTCTTATCTTGTTTTGTGGTTGAAGTTCACATTTGCGTGCTCACTAATCGGGATTAGGACTTTTTTCCCTAGAGTTGAACTAGCAGATTTAAGACCACATAGATCCAGTGGCTTTATATAAAACTCCCAAATCCTTCACATCTGCTGGAATCACTGAAGCCTTTTGGGTCATACAGAAGCATCAAGAAAGCTCAAATGCAGTGACTGAAGGAGCACACCCAGCTAGCAGAGGCAGAGTCAAAAAACAGACATAGGGTTTTTATTAGGATTTCCATAACCTGTCGTTGCCTAGTTTCATACACAGATCCTCCAGTTAAAGCGTGACACTACAAAGGAGCAATCGGAGCAGGCGGTGAGTTTATTTCAGTTACACTTTAAATTTATATTGTGAATGTATCACTCTGGTTAATGAGGAATATGAAATGAATTGACAACTGTGTGTTGAATGCTGATGGAAATTTCAGAGCTCAGCTCTCCCATTCCCTACGCATTGCATCTCTCCCCTCCACTCGAACCAGGTGAGGACTTGCAGCTTGTTTTAAAATACGGACTCAACTCTCATTAGGTCAGCAAATAAAGCACTTAAAGCTAAATCTTACACAGGCTGGGAAACGGCAGCACGCAGACTTTCCTTACTTAAGGTCAAGTACCAGGCCACTGGTAGTGGACCCAGTGCTCCCGACTCCCAGCCCAGCTCCCCTTTGGCTATGTATCCCGTGAAAGACCTTTTAATCCTACCCCCACAGCCTCTGACATTATTCTAAAGCTACTCACCATTTTGGCACTGGTTTGCTGACTATTTAGGAAGCTTTCCGTGCTAAAGGATTGTTAAAATGGAAACCCAGATTGCCGCTTGTCAGATAAGGACCGACTTAGGCACCACCCGGCTCCTTTGTTGCAAGCGGTCACAAGAGCAGGTGAGTAGGAACAGGAACCACGGGAGCTGGGAGCAGATGTGGGATGCAAGGTACACTTGAATCCCTTGTGCTTGCAGAGCCAGACTGTTTCAGACACGACTTTACCAGGGCTCTTTCGTGAAAGCGTGACAGGCTGACTGCTAGAGGCTGTCTGTTCTCTGCAGTCAAACCCATTCAAGTGTCTGCCCATATCTTGAAGGACAATTTAAAATCAAAGCTTCTCCCTTTTTACCCAGCAGTTACGCGATTGTTCAGCATGACTTTTCGGAGATCTCCCTCCTCTCCCCTCGGTGACGCAAGCCAGCACAGCTTCTCTAACGACCCTACAGTAGCTACGAGAGCACTGTGTTCTTGCAATGCTGGCGGTGCCCGTTTGACTTTCGGTACATTGATGTCTCAGGGCAGCAGGGAGGAGGAAAGTTTGCTGACTGGAACTCTCCAGTAAAGGAAAGCAAAGCCCTGTGCTCAGACTACTGTAAAACAAACCAGGAAGAAAGTTAAGCTGAGAAATTGCTTTCTTGCTACTTCTGTATTAGGGATTTGAACGCATCCTTTAAAATCTTCCCAGTGATGGAAGGCATCGACCTTCTGAAAGACACCTCTGCTACAGGTTTTATATCCCTTGGGGACTATTTGTGATTTCTGATTTGGATACTTAGAAAATAAAATGCAGGATCTTGCATGCCGATGAAATGCATGAGCCTTCACCATGAGGTGAAACATCCAACAGCTCACCAAGACATCCTCCGGTCAAGCTTTAGTCGCTACAGTGCGCCAAGAGGACGCTGCCGTCCTTTCCGAGTCTTCCTATTAGGAGTGACAAATCCCCCAGAGTCATTAATGGTATCGATTTAACAGAGGAAACCCAGGAGCTTCTGAATTAGTGTCGTTCACACAAATTTTGCACTTGAAGTCAGACATTTCAAAAAACACACACAAACACAAAATCTGCAGGCGTCAAGCTTTCTCTGACATCCTTATCTCCCAACCCCTTCCCCTCTTCTCTCTTGTCCAGCAAGGCACTAGGAAATGGTTCAAGTTTAAGCATTTGCTGTACATTTACATTTAAAAAGGCACATCTTTATTTTAATGACGCTGTATTCCCCTTTCAGTAAGGCCCACACATTCTTCTATTATGGTGTGGAAAAGAAAATTAATTTCCCAGGCATGAAAAAAGACATCTTGCAGACATAAGAGCCCCAAACCTATTACTCTGTTTGGAGGCCCTTAGAGATTAGCACCAGTATAAATCAACAAGAGATTCAAGAGCAAATCAAGGTATTATTACGCGACACAACACACATCCAGGGATCCCCCTGTTGTCTGGGATTCTGATACTTAAAAGCAGCAGAATTTATGCAGCCTTGGTGAGAAGGGTTGTTTGAATATTTTGGGGGAAAAAAATATGAAAACGTTTATTTTGCATTAGCTAATCACTGGTGTTTAATCTCCAGTCTTGACTTGCATGCAGATGTGAAGATTTGCTTATGTATTCATGCTTTAGCAATTTTGCTTACAAATAACCAAAAGTAATTGGAATAATTAACCAGATTGCCCAGCAAAGGCTCAATTAAAGATGTAGATGATGAAATACAGCTTCTAGTTCTCAATCAGTGGATGGTTGGCTATATTAAGTCTTCTCATTAGTCAGCAAAGCCTCTGGGGTATTGAAAAGTATAATTGATGTAAATAAATTAATAGCTCAAAGCCCAGTGAGCCAGTCAGAAGCGTACAGGATTTGTGGGGCACTTATCACACTCGGATCCCAAACTTCAGAAAACAGATCGGATCAGCCGTGCTGAGAAGGGCCCCGTAGGACCACTCACACTAAAGCTCCAGTTCCCATGTACTGGTGGTTGGTTGTCAAACAGGAATTGCCTCAACAATTACCTAATCTTTTGGTGCATACTACTAAGAGCTGTCCTTTCTCTCCAAATTAAGATCATTAAGTGGTAAAAGACCTGTTCGTTACTGCAGTTCTCTCTGAAGCAAGCGTCCAGCAAGCCAAGCAGCTAGGGCTCTCTTCACAAGGTGAGCCCAAGTACGAAGCAAGCCATGCATTTTAGAAACAGAAGCTAACCCTCTCATTAGAAAACTAAGACACACAAAGTTGCAAGCTGCAAGCGGAATGACCTACAGTCCGTTTATATCAGTTGCTGATTGTGTCCCAATTATAAAAATCTAGCACTGTTCATGGACAAGCAGCTTCTTGTTCCACAGGTATTAAAACATTCATAAAAACATCGAGGCAGGCCATCTAGCGATCCACAGTCAGCACTACGAGACTAATGAGAGCATTAATAACTTAAGGAAAGCAACAGTCAGACACAAAGCACTGGAAAGTGGCTCTGTCTCCCATAGACATGAAAAGGGATCCTAATGACGGACATATTGTAGTTACTGAGAACATAAGGCGTCAACTCTGTTTGACGCTGGTCTCGCTTCCATAGCAATACTGCTGCAAAACTGTCACAAGGAAAGCCTAGGGCTTTTTTTCTTTCTTCACTCCCAAAACGTTAGACACCAACACCTTTGGCAAGCCCGGTCCCAGCTGCAACGCAGCGCCCGCGTTTCTCT